GTTAAATAAACCTAGAACTTAAAAGACAAACTGTGACATCCAGCAACCCTTGAGTTGACACACACTGCACTGCTGCCCAAAAAACATCATCTGAGATATAAATCAGGTACACAACGGCCCACCTGATTGTTGTCATAAGAGAGGGGCCCACCAAATTGAATAACAAAATCTAAACATTCCTCTAATCAATCACATAATGGCTCTTTTACCAATAAGTTCAACTTCTGTTGTAAAAACTCAAACACATCATCACGCTTTTGATCCAAAAGCAATTTTCTCAACCTCCCAAAAGTCAACCTCGGTGGCCTAATTCCTTTCTCAATCATTTCCTCCATTAACACACAAGCTTCAGAAGCATCTTCATTTTCACACAACCCGTTAATCATAACAGAAAAAGTATGCAAACTAGGAACAAATTGCTTCCCTTTCATATACTTCCAAACTTTTTGTCCCATTTCAATATCACCCGTTTCACAAAACATCTTAATCATCATCGTATACGTATCCGCATCAGGTTCACAAATCTTGATCATCCTTTTGAAAACCTTAAACGCCTCATTACTTTCTTTTCTATCTATCAAATGATTCAAAAGAATGTTACAAGTTCTTGAATTTGGATTCACCTTTTTGCATTCCATTTCGTTTAAAACCCTATACGCGTTTTTAACCTTGTTTACTTTACAAAATGCACTAATCAACGCATTGTAAACTGCCACGTCAGCATGAACACCGTTTCTTTCCATTTCAAGAAACGTATCAACAGCATCTTCGATTCGGTTTTCAATCCCGTATGTGTGAATTAAAATACTGTATATGAAGGATGTGGGCCCACAACCGTTATATTCCATGTCTTTTATTATATCGATAGCTTCATCTACCCTACCTGTTTTACACAAAATATCAACCATGATCCCGTATGTGACAATATCAGGGGTACATCCGTCATTTTCCATTTCTTTATAAATCTCTCTTGCTTTAGGCAAATTGGGATCCTTTCCCCACCCTTCGATTAATATACTGTAAGTTTTCTGATCAGGTTTAAATCTTTCTTTCATTGTGTCAAAAATCTCTTGGGCTTTTCTTACGTTTCTTGATTTACATAATGCACTTAATAAACCATTAAAAGCTGATAAATTTGGAGGGGTGTTGTATTTTTCCATGATATTGAAGGTGTAGATTGCCTCTTCGACTTTTTGTGCTCTTGCATACTTTCTCATAATTATGCAAAAAGTCTCGATATTGAGCAGGTTTTTAGTTCTCATGGTGTTTATAAGATCCCACATGATTTCATATTGTCTGATTTTGGCTAAAGATTCAATCATGGCATGATAAGCTTTTATAGAATGTTCATAGTTACGTTGCTTACCTGCCCAATCAAAGAATTGATACACCAACATGCCTGCATTTGTGAATCTTTTAAGGACTTGTTCTACTACTTCAGGTGATGGCCTTATACCACTTTGATCAAGTGCAGTTGCAACTCCTAGCTTTGGACATGACATCATGATTTTGCATATTTGTTTTGTGGGGTCGAATAATATGTCTTTCTTTGTTTCAATTGAGCAGTATGTTCTTCTTCTGGGATGAAAAAGATTTCTGAAACTTGATTTCATAGGACTGGTGAATACTCTGATCATATTGTCGTGGATCACCTAGAAGAGTTGGAGACCATCAAACAACTTTCTTGCATTTAAATTATAACTAAGAGCTTAAAGAGTAAAGAGTATCAAAAGAAGTCCCCAAGGGATAATAATAATTGTCATGGGCATTTCATCAAACAGCTTTCATGCATTAACATGTTATCATCTCCAAGCCAACAGACTTGCCAGTTGGGCAGTTGACATTACGAATTTTGAGTTTAGTCTACAGAAATAGGAGCAGTAAAGCTTAAATATCAAACGGTTTGCTTGGTGTACCAAAACTGATGAAAGGGAAAGTAAAAGAATGAAGATTAAATTGAGAGTTCGGACTTGCCATTCGGGATTTCGGAGATTGAGACAACGGGATGTACAGCCGAGCAAGTGTGAGAGCGAGTTCGATTCGAGATGCGAAGATGGAGAAGCGGAGACGCGATCGTGGCGGCCGGCGGGAACGAGCCGACGGAGATGAATTTCGATTTTCGAAGAAGCAGGTTTTAATTTTTAACTACTGTATTTATTTGGAGTTTTTCATAAATTATATTAGAAGATCATTTTTAAATAAAAAAGCTTAATATTAAAAGTACTTCTTCGGTTCTTTGTACGTATAATATTAAAGTATATGATATTTTTCTTTCGTCGACATTTCTTTTAAAAAATTTTAGTCCACCAGCAAACCATTTTCTTTTATTTCATATATTAAAGTTGACTAACATTTGAGGGGATTAAAAGTTTGTGGATTTCAACCTAACAAGTCGTATTTGTTTATGTTAAGGTTATATACAAATTTTCAAACGTCTACTCTTGAAAATCTAATAGCAAAAAAATAGATCCAGCCAAATTGTAATTTATTGATTTGTATCATATCTCGATTCATTTTTAAAAATTAAAATTAATTTGGTTTTACTAAGTTAAATTGGATCGAACTGATCTATTCAAACGAATATCATCGTCGATTGTTTTAAAAGGCTCATGTTGTCGAACTAAGACGCATCATGGAGGGGCGGAACACGAACAATATAAATAGGGGGCCAAAACAATGACGTATCAATAAAAAAATTGAGACGAGGACAAACCTTAAACAATATATCTATCCTATCTACTCTAATAGTTCACTGTAAAAAAGATATATATCATAAAATAATTGCTTTCATGCTGATTTGTTTTTTTAAAATGGATATTCAAACATCAACATGTCTTGTTTATATAACTTAATGTACTAATCAAAAGCAATAACAAAGTTATACATGTCTTGTTTATATATCTTCATGTCCTTATCCTTATTAAAATCAACACAAAAAACAACAATTATACTAATATAAATATAAAAACAGACATTAGGTTATAACTAAATAAAACATTAGATATTTTTATAGAAGTTTTTATTGAAAAAGTAATTGAAATAAGCATAAAGGATAACAATCAACATATAACTGGTGACACTTTGGAAGAAAAAAAATGCGACAATACAATGTACTATAGAAATAATTACAAAACAATTTGACATCAAAAAGCTTATGACTCAGCGTTATCAAGTGTTGTCCTCCTTATTTGAGGTGAAGGTTCAAGTCTCGTCGTTGACATAGGTAAAACTAAGTGTTAGATAGGAGAATATTATATTTGTTTTTAAAAAAATGACATTAATGTGGCAGACTAGCAACACATTTAACAGAAGCAATCCTCTAATACGATTAAATAAGAAATTAATGCCAAAAGTAAATCAACTGAAATCCAGAGAGAAAAAGAACTCAAAGGAGATGACTACTGGGGAGGCTTCAAGTGCGTAAGCGGTGGAAAAGATCCACGAAGGAGAGCGACGGGGGCAAGAGAAAAGAGTGGAGGACATGTGATGGGAAAGATTTCATTTGAAGCGAAGACTATTGGATTAGCGAGTTCTCAGGAGTGGTTATGGATGCATTATCTTTTTTCTCCAGTTTGATTTATTTCTTGTTATTTTCTCCATTTATTTAATCTTGAATTATCTATGTTTTGAAAATCCAGGAGGCCATTGTAGTAGTTATGCTTAAATAATAGACTAATTATAAATATTTAGATGTTAGAAGGCTAAAAACCAGGTGCCCTGGCCCTTAAAGGATCCGTCACTAGTATCATGCTTTCCAAAACTCATATCTAACATTATACCTTAAGAAATAACCGCCTTACAATATCTATATAATTTTAAATAATATATACAAAATCGAATAATAGTTTAAAATAGTAATATATATATATATATATATATATATATATATATATATATATATATCCCTTATATACCAAATTCTTGATTGAGTAAAAAACATTGTGGCTTTGTCGTTGCTCCTAAAACTTAAGGCTTGACATTACCGACATTACAACATGTCACTTCTCGGATCATTAAAACATTTGTATTATTGTTAAAATCCCGATCTTAATTTAAAATTTTACGATTTTAAGATTCTATAAGTGAAAAATAATTTGTATCACACTACGATTCCGAACTCACATTTTTAATTTTATTATATAGCAAAGTCTCAAAAAACCATCTATTCAACTTGAAATCGAGCATCACAAGTTGTAAAACTATATTAGAGCATCATCATTTAATCAAATTATTTCAAATTAGTCCGGGCACACTCATATTATGATCTTATATTTTTAGCCACTTGCGAACAAATTTGAATATCAATTTATTTTGATTGGATTTTTTATCCAGATGTTACGATCATATCTCTTACAAAACGTATAAATATTTTAAAAAAGATCTCTGATGGTAACAATATAAACAATTTAGTTTTTAGCTATAATTTTTGAACTGGAAATATCTGCATGTTACTTAAAGTCAAAAAGACCGCATCACTTTCTCTAAGAGGTATTCTTTTAGACAACTATTTCAAGTAAGTTCTTTTTTTTTGTTTCTTTTTGAAGTCGAGACAAACAGCCAACTCATCAAAAGGTAGATTTCCTTTTTGTTTGCATTGATCATTTATGGATCCAAAAGGTGGTTGTATATTGGCTCTCTACCTTGATTGGGAAATTCATCCCCTCCACAAATGTATGTGTCCTTCCACATTTTATTGATATTGTGGTTAATATGGTAAACACATATTTTTTAAGTCTTTTATAATTTTTGTGTGTGTGAAGTTACTTTACAGATCTCATTAATTTATTAAGGCTCACACGATAAAAAAAACATTCTGTTTTACCATTTATAGGTTTGTGTTTAGTTTCTAAATCTAGTTCGATGTATAACCATTAAGTTCTTCAAATTTTACAAGCATCATTTTTCAACAAACTTTGTAAAAGCGAAAAATAGAGAAAAATGAACAATTAAGAATCCTATACTTACATAAATGGTACAAAAAGCATTACCATTTACCAATTTCAAGTGTTAAGAATTGAACTCGTTATCGACCCATCGCTACTCGACCACAAACTGGTACCATGCCGGAAACTCAGTCCAAAAGACTCTTGACCAAGCGGCGGTGGCCGGTCCGGCAACCGAGGAATGTCAATATCACCTTCCAACATCTTCAGAGCTTCTGAAATGGTAGGTCGAAGCACCACCATGGCATGAGCACAAAGTAATCCAACTCTTACAAATCTACCCATCACACCCTTCGGCGACGTCCCTTCTTCTCTCATCGACTCATCAAAAACCTCATCAATTCCATCCGATTTCACCTTCTCCCATGCCCAATCGGCGATCAAAACCATCCCAGAATACGCCGCCCCTTTCACCTCTTCAAGCACCTTCCTCCCACTCATGATCTCAAGAACGATGATCCCAAAGCTATACACGTCGCTCTTTTCTGTCAATTGCCCGTAAAGAGCGTATTCCGGTGCTACGTAGCCATAAGTTCCGGCGACTCTAGTGGTCATCTGAGACTGCCCGTCTCTACTTTGCTTAGCTAATCCGAAATCCGCAACTAGGGCTTTCATGTTTGAATCTAGAAGAACGTTTGTCGCCTTTATATCGCGATGAAATATCGGGGGTTTAATCCCGTCGTGTAAATAAGATAGCCCTTTCGCCACATCGAGAATGATCGATTTTCGTTGAGGCCAAGTTAAGCTTTTTTCCGGTGTCCGTTTATTGAAGATATGATCATGTAAATTACCATTTGGCATGAAATCATAAACCAGGTACCTTTCGTTTCCTTTAATGGCGTCGCTAGTGACACAAAACCCTCGAAGTGGGAGAAGATTTCGATGTCTTATCTTGCTTATGATATCGGCCTCGTTTACAAAATCGTCGTCTGCTTCAGTATCGAAGCTGGTCATCTTTTTGACGGCGACCTCCGTTCCATCGGAGAGGGTTCCTCGGTAAACAATCCCGAATCCACCTTGACCGATGAAGTTTTGTTCAGAGAATCCATCGGTGGCGACGTCGAGCTCGGCTATACGGAACCATTTTGCACCGGTGTTGGGCAAAACACGAGCTCTTACTGTTCTTACATAATCTGTGTGAAATTGATTTTCTTTCCTTTTGTTTTTGAATCTCCTGTACGCGAAAACTGCACCCAGAAAAAGGAGAGTTCCGATCAAAGCTCCTAAAATCGCGAAAATGGTGTTTTTCTTGGATCTTGAATTGGATCTGGATTTAGCTAAAGGTACGCCGAGGATGCAATCGGCAGTTCGAGTGTCTTCCGGGCCAAAACTGTTGACGATTGCGGCGGCGTATAGAGCGGTGAAAGTGAAGCATTTACTTGAGTTACGGCTTAAAGCTACTAACCGGGTGTTAACCGCCATTCCTGCATCAAGGCAGGAGCTGCAGCTGAGAAATCCGGCGAAATCAACGTTGCAGGAAGAGTCAAGCGCGGTGGTCGGGCCTGATTTGTTGACCCAATCTGATAACGTCACAATCTCAGCGCATTTTGACGGGGTTGCGACGAACTCAGTGGTGGAGGTGAGGCAGGTGGAGAAGATCTGTGTGATGGAGATTGAAGAGAGATGGGATTGGAAATCGGAAAGGCAAGAAATGGAGGATTGGAGGTTTGGGAACAAGAAAGTTGAGGTTTGGTTGAGGTGGTGAGCGAGGCCGATGCCGAAGAGACTCCGGAGAGTTTGGCAGCAGTTTGGGGTGGCGGTGTCGTTGGTGGTGGTGGTCCGGCAGGCGGAAGAATCCCATGGAAAGGTGGTAACATAGTTGAAATCTGTTGAGCATGAAGAAGAAATTGCTGCTCGATGTAAAGAGGGGAGGATGAAGAAGAAACAAACCAGACACAAGAACCGGCATTTCCCCATTAATGGTGACCTTACTTTCTCCCAAGCAAATGGTTGCTTTGAGCTCATTGGATATGTTATGTAACTTGTTGATGGTGCAACTTGGAGAAAATGTACAACTTTTTAAGCACAAGTTACAACTCAAAATATTATCTTTATCGGTAGTTAATGTTAGGAAGGATTTGTAGTTAATGTTAGGAAGGATTTGTCTTTATTTAATCTTTACAGCATACATCATTATTTTTTTGGATATATTAAACTCTGATAGAATAAAGTAATTTGTGAAGGCTGTCACATGTTAAGCTTTACAAAATACATCATTATTTTTAGGATATATTAAACTTTGATAGAATAAAGTAATTTGTGAAGGTTGACACATGTTGATTACATTAAAGGGGCGTATTTTTTTATATTTCACACGGTAATAGTCAAAGTCAAACTTAGTACAATGATATATCCAAAAAAAGAAAATTAAGGTAATAAAATGTCTCTTTCTACCTCATTCAAGTTTCAACAATGCGGAACTCAAACACCAAAGAAAAAAAAACAAACTTTTTCCCTTCCATTGCTCGGATATGTTTATGAAATTGCAATGTTTCCATGAAGCATTTTCAACTTAGAAAAGTATAATATTGAAATAATATATCTTTTTCTGTATCTTTACTTTTTTATTTTTTGGAACCAACGGAAAAATATATAAAAATAGGAATGACGAGGTTAGGCCCGAAGAGAAAATATGATTAACCAAATAGCCACCAAACAATGCTTCTTCTTTTGGATGGAATAAAGGTAAGAGAGAATAGGATTCGCTACCAAATAATAGGGGTGTGCTAAAAAACCGAAATCGAATAACCCAATCGAACCAAATGATGTTTGGTTTATGTGGTTTGGGTTATTCGGTTTAATTAACTGAATAAGGATACCTTATTTGATTTGATTTTGATTAAATTTTTATTATTTGGTTAAACCGAAAAAACCAAATAAGTTGTTTAATTAATATATGTTTTTATAGTTTATATCTAAAAATTAACCTTTTTTATTTAAATTGATGAATTAGTTACTAAAAAAGTTTTTGATAACTCGCTATTTACTTATTAACCATTATAAATTTATAATTGTTTATATATTGTATTTAAAAAAACAACAACTAATTAGTCAAATATTAATTAACCTTCAATCATTTATTTCTTCTTCATCTTCGACTAAAACTATATTAACTTACATCTACATCTTGTATGATTACATCAACACTTCAAGGCAACATATAATGAAAAGAAAAGTTGGATATAATATGTTATGAATTAATGTATTTTTTTCATTTGGTAAAAGTTTAATAAGTTTTTTTCTTTTATTTTAATATTTATTTTTACATGCGAAATTTTATTTGGTTTAAGCGGTAAACCAAATCAAACTAACCAAAACCGATTAAGGGAAGATGAAGTCGTATACGCTTTGGGCAATGCCATCGCATTGAGCAGCGCTTTCAGTGAGTTTAGCCGTTTTCTTGATTACAACGGGTTTGTAAACCCAACAAACCCGCCATTTGATTTAATGATTATTGTTTGACTTTCTATTTGACCTCAAAAGAAACCCACCGGTGAATATTGCTTTCTACATTTATTTATTTTTGTATAATTCGGAACTTTGCAAAACGAATTATTTTCCATAATTTAGTGTGTTTCTTTCGAATTTTTTTAAACTTCACAAAACTAATTCTTCAAAAAAAAAATATGTTTTATTTTATTTCATATTTTATTTTCTAATTAAATAAATAATAGTGTTGTAACAAGTGGTCGGGAGTCCTTCCCTTCCAACTCATTCAACCCATTTCAACATAAATTTTTTCTATTTTTTTTCTAACCAACAACACATGGAAACTTTATATTTCCCAAACATTTGTCACATAATTATTTTTTATTTAATTAATTTAGAAAATGTAAAATAAAATAAAACATAATATTTTTTTCTTTAAAAAAACGGGGTTGTCTATGTTGATTAAACTTCATTTTAGATTATTTTAATGATGTAAGACAACATCGTGTGCAACTTAAAATAAACAATTTAGTTAATAATGCATATATAATTATATTTTATTATCGTTTGAAGAATTTTGTCTCTCGTTCATATTTTGTATATTATTTGACCTATCCTAAAACAAAATTATGGCTACGCCACCATCCCAATGTTCATGGAAGCACACCCCTTTGATATCGCCAATACCTACCCTCAAAAAACATACGTTACCATCCTCCCTAAGGGAGGAGGGAGTCGTTCCCTCCCAACCTACTGAACCCAATGAACCCACTGCCACATCAGTTTTTCTCTTTGATTTTTTTTCATCTTTCCCAACCCACAACACACGGAAATCATATCTTTCTCAACTCACTCAACCTACTCAATTAAAAAAAATACAAAATAATCAAGGTAAAATCTTAATTAGCAACAGAGTTATCGCCGGTACCACTCCCTCTTTAGCCGGTTGTTTAATTGGTTTTACGAACCCACTTCATCCTCTCTCTCTACTTTCTCTCTCTCATTTTCTCTTATACCGTGTGTTTTAAGATTTGTACCTTAGTTGTTTAGTATTTTTTTTAATTGAGTGGGTTAAGTGGGTTGAGAAAGATAGGATTTCCGTATGTTGTGGGTTGGGAAAGATGAAGAAAAATAAAAAAGAAAAGCTAATGTGACAGTGGGTTCAGTGGGAACGACTCCCTCCTCCCTAAGATGTAAAAAACCGAATTAATTGATTAAACTGGAAACCAAAAAAAAACTGACCGAATAACACCCCTACCAAATAATAATGATTCTTTTTTGGATGGAGTAGAGGTTCGGAAAATGGAGCATTAGTTTACCACACTTGACCCAATTATCCATCTAGAATAAAATATCATTCCCGTACCCTACCACACGAGAGAAAATTTCCTTGTGACTCAATTCCAAGTTCTCTACGTCCCTTGCGATTTTTGTAATGTTGCTCGAAACTATTGGGATGATTTTTAGTCTCCAACACTTGGCTAACTCCTTTTTAAGATTATGAATACCTTTTAATTGTCTAACACCAAAGAAAGTTATTCTATTTTTATATGCCACCACCATTTAATGAGCAATGTTATGTTTGAGGAAACCCACACCAAGACCACTTTCATCTTTTAGAGCAAGAACGTTGTCCCTACCCACCCAATTGATTTTTTATTTTCCATTAACCCATCCCCATAGGAATTTTCTTTGGCTTTTTCTAGTGTCATAATAATGCACGATGGGGCTCTAAACAAAGAAAAGTAGTAGGTTTGGAAGACTATTATGAACCACCTTAATCAAGGTGAGCCAATCCCCGAGTGAGAGAGAGATTTTGCCTTCCGAATCAAGAGTTTTAATTTGAAATGTTCAAGTTTATAGTGTTTTATAAGAGCCATGAAAGCACCAACAAATAAAAAAAAGAGTAAACTAATTTGTTATGTATCGAGTGTCGATAAATAATTAGAAATTGCTATAATTACTTTACTATTGATAAAAACTTAATAAAAAATCAGAAATTTATTTGTGAAAATTAATTAATTCTTATTGGAGAAGATGAAGTTAGTCAACGTTGACTTCTTGATTATATTTGACTTTCTGTTAGAGAGTTAATTGTTTGTTAGCTATAGTTTAGTTAGTTGAGCAGAGTTAAGTTAATTAGTTGTTTTACTTGATGTATATAGATTGTATTTTTTTTAATCAAAATATTATAGTTCAATACATATCGATTGAAGGCAAACGGGCAACAAGCTGCGCCGCTAGCCCATTCTGGATGGCAAAACCAATTCTTTTGAAAACAACATTTGTGGATCTATGAGATATGACATTAGAATGCATGACCCGTTGGACTCTATTAAGGAGCTCCACCGCCTCTGGTGCGAGAAAACCAAATGTATCGAATGCAAAAGTAACAAACACATGTTGATTTTCTATACATGCATTCTCGTGTTTTACCACTTTGCACGCAGCGGCTTTCAAAGCGGCATGCCCAGCTGTGAAACCCCCGCTCCCCAAACCAACGAGAGGAGAGACCCCAGTAAGATCCACGCACGCATGCTTCCCTCCTATCCATCTAAAGACCAAAATGTCAGCCGGTCTAAGTGTGGACCTGCCATCCTGCGGGTCCGTCAAAAAGTTCACTGGCGCTTCTTTCTTCACAGAAATACCAGCACGCCGACAAGCATCAAAGAGAACATCCCGAACCACATCATGTCTATACTTGAAACCAGGGAGCTCTCTACAATGAACTGCGTGTTCCCCAAAGGTATCCAAACATGCCTTGCGACAAACTGGGCATATCTCGTCAATTGGGAATATGGGAATCATGAGGCGGTAACGAAGGATAGTTCGGTACTCCACAGGAGACATGTGCTGGCCAAGACCATCAATAGGGATAGTTAGCAGAAAATCCTGAGCATGAGGCGCCCGCAGACACTCAAATACTGCTTTCTGTCTGACAGTCATGTCGAAGTCGACTTCCATATCTTGGACGATTTTGCTAAAAAGGGCACACGCCAAAGCTTTTTGGGATTTAGGGGGGGCGGTGTCCTTATTAGTGAAACCGCTACAGTCAAATCCCGGAATCGTATCGCGAAGACGAGTCATAGCACATAGGTAATCCGAGTCCATACCACATATGCCACTGTCACGTAAGATGTGGTCTTGTAATGCCCAAGATTGGGCCCTCGAGGCTACAAATGCGTAGGAGGAAACCTCGTAGGCCGAGTACAAACCCAAACCACCGAAACGAATAGGTAAGGAAGCCAAGCGCCACTGAATGTCTCCAAAGAAGGGGCCTCCACATACCACCATATCCTCGATAGACCTGCGCAATCTTTTGTCAAAGAATAACGTTGCCTCTTCTATGTGTACCGGCTGGCATGTCCTTAAACCAAAGAAAAGTTTTGCAATGCCCATACATGATCGAAGCAAAAGGAGCTCACTCTGCGGGTCACATAGTTGTGGAAGAAGACCCATGAAATCAACAACATTGACCGCTCTCTTCATGGCCAGCCCCCTAATAAACCCCGCGTCTCTGCTAACAGCCCCCCCAA